AAGGACATTTGTCATTTTGAAAACTCTCAATAAACTGCCCACATCCCTGCATTGCCTAGTGTTACATATTCTGATTTTGCCAGTCTGAGAGTCACCAGTAAAAAAAAAAAAAAAAAAATTAAGTTTATTCGACCAGATGTTTTTTCTACAAAAAAAAAAAAAATTCATTCAAAAGATCAAGGTTGGACAAGGGATTGTCCAGGCTGGACAAGTTGTAGAATGGTTTTTATAGCCCCCATCACAGCCTGTGACACACACCCTGTGGGAAGCCATTCTCACACGTGACTGGGCAACTCCCGGTTTGGGTCTGAGGCGCTCTGGCTAAACTGTGTCGGAGCTTTCCCGGCCCTCTCCTGGTGCGAGAGCCTGTCCGTGCGGGGGTGTGACTGACCACTGACCCCGGGGACCAATCACTGACCCTGACCTTGGAGTGCGGCCCCCCTCAACCTTCATTGGATAGAATTCTCCCCTGAATTTCTTGTTCCCCAATAAAAGGCTACTCCCTGGCGTGCTCACTCTCTCTCTCTCCTGCTAGCCCTGAGTAATCCTTGCTGCCCTACCGGGTGGTTCGAGGTGACAGCCAGAGGGGGAGCCGTCTTGGACCTGGTCATAGAAAAAGGTAACTGAGTCTGTGTGTTTTATTTCGATCTCACTAGTTAACTTTTATGCCAAGAACCTCTTTAATGAAACCAGTGCGCTGGTCGCATGGTGGAAACACCCCCTGCCCACTCCCCTAATTGCTCTTCTAGGCAGAGGAAAAGTGAAAATGTAAAAAATCCCCGTACCTCTACTGACCTCCATCCAGAAGGTGCTGGGAAATCATGCCCTTTCCTTGTGTATTGGTTAGGCATCCACATGTCAGACAGACGTGAGCTCCAGTCTCTGCCCACCCACTTTAGTCATATTTATTCAATGAGCAAGATTTTTCCTCCTTTCCCCCCTCTGCAGTACTGGAGGTTGAACCTAGAGGTGTTCTATCACAGAGCTGCACTCCCAGTCCCTTTTATTATTTAGGTTTTTTTTTTTTTGGTGTGTGTGTGTGTGTGTGTGTGCATGTGTGTGTGTGAGGGTGGGTACTGGGAATTGAACCCAGGGGCACTCTACCACTGAGCTACATGCCCAGCCCCTCTTCATTTTTATTTTTTAAATTTTGAGATGGGGTCTTGCCAAGTGGCCGAGGTTAGCCTTGAATTTCATTTTCCTCCTGCCTCAGCCTTCCAAGTTGCTGGGATTACAGGTGTGTGCCACTGAGCTTCCCGGCAGTGGTGGCTTCTCCTCCTCCTCCTTCTCCTCCTCCTCCTCCTCCTTATTTTTTGCTTTTGTGGTACTGGGGATTGAACCCAGGGTCTTGTGCATGCTAAGTGCATGCTCTACTGTTGAGCTATAGCCCCTGCCCCCAGTGAGCAGGTTTTGAGTGCCTGCTGTATGTATGTACTGCTCTGGGTGCTGAGGCAATCCCTGTCCCAATGGGGTCTCCATTCTCATGGGATGAGATAAATAATAAGCAAATGTATGTGTGAGATGTCAGGAGAGGGCAAGGGAAAAAAAGGACAGGAACAGAAGAGAGTGGCATGGCTATTTTTATAAATCAAATTTTTAATTAAAATGTTTTTCAGTGGTGGGGATTGGATTTAGGGCTTTGCACATGTTAGGCAAGTGCTTTACCACTTAGCTACACTCCCAGCCAAAATTAAAGTTTTGAGAAGATAAAAAACACCCATTTCCGGATGTAAACACTTAATGAACAGCTCCCTCCTGCCCACCTTCTCATGGGCAGTATGGGATTTGGGGCATGCTATTGCTTTAGGTGCTCAGGGAGGACATCTTTGAAGAAGTGACATCTGAGCACAGACTGAATTAAGGGAGGAAGAGGCCATACAGACATCTTGCAGAGATGTGTTCCAGGTGGCAGGAACTGCCAGCACAAAGGCCCTGGGGGTGGGAACATACTTGGGGACTCTAGAAATATGGAAGCGTCTGGAAGGAAGGGTATAAGCAGTGTGACCCTGGGAGAGTGGCTTGACCTCTCTGAACCTTGAGTTTCCTTACCCATGGAATAGGTCTGAGAGTTTCCATTCTCAATGGGTTATGGTGAGGACTGAATGAGATTGTGCCTGGTACAGTGTCTGGTACCAACTGAGCACCCCAAAACAGAAGCCATTAGAAACAATGGCCTCTACCTGTTTTCTGGAGGGAAAAGCTAGGCCAGGAGGGAGCCAGCAAAGAGGGGCTGCCACCATAAGCAGATGCAGCATAGGACTTCAACCGTCTCCCAGGATACACAGGGACAGAGATGAACTGTGCTCAAGGTTTAGGGCGTTCACTCAAGCAGAGGGGAGGCACCGGTTTTTCTTTCAGGACTGACACTTGGAAGGAAACACGGTTCCTTCCAAGATCCCACACTTCTCATTTAGATGAGAAACTGAGGCACGGAGGGGTTGAAGCCTGGGAAATGCCAGCTGGGAGCTGGGCAGGGGGGCTGCAGGTGGGCACTTGGAGATGGAGCTGTCTCCGGGGTTGGGGCCTCCGGTTGGGATCAGCCCCTTCTCTCTGCCTCCACCGCTCTCTTCCAGATAGAGAGACCATACAGCGACCTCCAGAGAGAGACACAGAAAGCGTCGGAGCCCTGAAACTAAAACGGAGATGGAGAGATGGAGAGAGAATGGAAGGAGCGATGAGACATGAGGGCAGAGACAGTGAGCCAGGCCGATTCACAGCGCCATCAGAGAGAGAGGGAGAGAGAGAGGCAAAGGCAGAGACTGAAAAAAAAAAAAAACAAACAAACCTTGGCGACACAGAAGGAACGACAAACAGCGACCCAGAGACGGGGATGAATCAGACAGGACAAGAAGTACAGCGTCACAGACCGAGAATCGGAGAGGACAGACTCAGGGAGGGCTGCCCTTTCGGGAGACCCCGGCTGCCCCGTCGGGGGCGAGCCAGGAGCTCCCCACCCCGCCCCCGTCGTGCCTGGACCGTGACTTCAGAGGCAGCGCAGATTCTATAAATGGCCAAGCGCGGCCGGGGAGCGCGGCCCGGTGAGTCAGCGCGTGACGACACCGCCGCCCGGACCCCCCCACACAGGCCCCGCCCCTCTCGGGCCGCCAGGGGGCGCCGACTGCGAGCTGGGCCCAAGCACCGGTCCTCACATGCGCAGTAGTGACCTGCGGTCCCCTCAGCGAGGGCAGCAGGCAGTAATTTGCACGTTCGATTCCCAGCTGTGCCATCCTCGAGCCGTGTGATCCGCACTGCGGGCTTCGCTTCTCTGTGCCTCATACAGAGCCACCTCACAGGCTGCTGTGAGGGATGAGTTAACTGAGCCAAAGCACTTAGTGCATACTAGGTGCTAACTGCCAGCTCGTTTGATGAATTTTATTGTACCTTCACTGTATCATGACATGCCATCAACTGTTTCTTAGCATGTTGCCTTAGGCCTGTGGTTCTTAAATGGGGGCGATCTGCTCCACCGCCACCCCCAGCCCCAGAGGACACTTGGCAATGTGTGTCTACATTTTGACAAGCTAAGAGGTACTACTGGCATCTAATCAGTAAAGGCCAGGGATGTTGCTTAAAAAGTCCTACAGCGCCCAGGACAGCCTCCCATCACCAAGAATGATCCAGCCCCGACTGGATGCCAAGGTTGAGAAACCCTGACTTTAGCCCATAGCATTAAGGACAGGGGCCTGCATTCATTCAAATTCTCTGCTCTGCAGGGTCTGGGGATGTTGCTCAGTGGTACAGTACTTGCCTGATATGTAGGAGGCCCTGGGCTCCATTTCCAGACAACAGTTTAAAAAAAAAGATTCAGAAATGGGTGCAGTGGTGTATGTCTATAACCCCAACAACTCTGTAGGCTGAGGCAGGAGGATCACGAGTTTGAGGCCAGTCTCTGCAACTTAGCAAGCCAAAACCCTGTTTCAAAATAAAAACATATAAAAGTCTGTGGGTGTAGCTCAGTGTTAAAGTACCCCTGGGTCAATGCCTAGCACCACCAGGAAAAAAAAAAAGCAAAATATATCATCAGCATGTGGCAGGTTGCTGGCATGTCGTCCAAGTGTCTCTGTCGTGTCCTTGACATATGTTGCATAATGTGGATATGACATTTACCCCTGTGGTCCAGGGGTAAGAGCTGGCCAGGCAGGGCAAGTATCCAACTAGACTAGCCAGTCTGGGACAGGGTGGTTGTTCAAGGCCCAGGACTCACTAACAGTCAGCTCATGGTTCCAGTGACCCACAGGTGGATGGGAAGAGTAGATCCAAGATCTCTGCTCTCCCGGAGCCTTGTGAGGGGCTGAAGGGGACTGAACTGGGGTATCAGATCCTCAGTAGAAATATTACTATTGGGCTGGGGATGTGGCTCAAAAGGTAGCGCGCTCGCCTGGCATTCATGCAGCCCGGGTTCAACCCTCAGCACCACATACAAACAAAGATGTTTGTCCGCCAATAACTAAAAATAAAAATATTTTAAAAAAAGAAATATTACTATTGCCTGAGTTCTTCTCCTGTGCACGTTGGAGGCAGCATTTGTTCTGATCTTCACAACACTACACAAGGTAGGAGCTGTCATTAGCCCATTTTACAGATGTGGCAACAGAGGACCAGAGAGAAGGGACTTGCCTAAGGCTATATATAGACTATTGGTGTCTGGGCTAAGCTCAGGGGTGGTGCTTGCTAAACTACCAGGGATGACAGTCTTGGCTCAAGATTGGAGAGGGACAAAGGGTGATGACCTCAGAAATAAAGTGCCTCAGAGACTGAGCCGGAGACTCAGTGGACAGTGACAGGCTGGGGTGGGGGAGAAAGTTGGTCTCTGTCTGATCAAGCCCCCTTCTCAGAATAATGCAGGCTGCCCCTCTAGGTGGAAACAATGACACAATTAGCTCCCAATACCAAGGCCCTGACATCACGAGGAAGGGGGTGGCCAAGGTGGGGGGGCGCCCCGCCCCTTGGCAGGCCCGTTCAGCCAATGGGACGGCCTTGGAAGAGACCCGGGCCACCTCCGGAGCTTCAAAAACGTGTGAGGAGGGAAGAGGGTGCAGACGGAGTCTCAGCTGCTGCCTCCCTGGTCCTCAGCGTCACTACTGTCCCCACCAGAGCCTTCTGGTCAACATGTCCTCTGCTCACTTCAACCGAGGCCCCGCCTACGGGCTGTCAGCTGAGGTCAAGAACAAGGTAAGACTGGCCCACACACTCTGCCAGGCCACAAGCCCCTCTCTTAGGATTCCCTGAACCCCTCCTGCCTATCCCATGTGACGGGGAACCTGAGAGGGGAAGAGGGAGAGGTACAGGGTAGTTCTGGCTTTCTGCCTCTTGTGAACACCCCAGAGCCCTCAGATACTTTTTTGGGATGCGATGGGGGCACCCAGCCACCTGATGGAAGTCCTTTGTCAACCTTTGGTGTTCCTGGCAGGGACACAGAGGGAAGACTTGTTGATTTTTCTCACAGCCCCCAGCCTGACAAAGAAATTGAGAACCCTTGACAGCTGGTTTCCTGGGAGGTGAAGAAAGTGTGGGAGATCAGGAAGGAGATGGTTGGGGTGGAGAAGTGGGCGTCAGACCCCCCAGGGGGTTTCCTAATTGCAGTGCTAGGCAGACACCAGGAAACCATCTTCACGTTATGGATGGGTTAACTGAGGTCCCAGCTAAGGCGGGCACAGAATTGGGACTCTGAACTCACCTCCCCACAATATAGGGCACTTGAAGCCCCGTCCCACTGGAACGCTCCCGGGGCGTCGCTAGGGCAAAGTCCCAGCCCCATTTGACAGAGGGGACCGCTGAGGCGCAGGATGGTTTTTCCCAGGTCCCACAGCAAGGGAGCGGGACGGGATTAGAACCTGGGTTGCGGGACCCTCGGGCTGGAGGAAGGGGCGGCAGGGGGCGGGTGCTCTGGCGGGAGTCCGATCCCAGCGCCGCCCCCTTCCCCCCAGAGCCGCCCCGGAGTCGCACCGAGCCGCCGCGCCATATAAGGCGGCCTCAGGGAGCCCGGCCGCGCTATATAAGGGCGGGTTTGCTTTATAAAGCGGAGCTGCTGGGGAGGGGGGCGGCAGGACCCGGGCCAGGTGAGGGGCCGCCCCCTCCCACCTCCCTCCTCTCCACCCAGGGGAAGGGGCCGCCCGAATCCTCGGGGGGCTGGGAGCCTGGCTGGGCTGGAGGATCCTAGAGACGTGGGAGTGGGGGCGAGTGGAGAGGGAAGGAGGGGGAAAGTAGAGGAGATACTGGGAGCCTGAGACAGACGGGGAGGGCGAGCCAGGAGCGAGATAAGAGCGAGGCGGGGAGGGGAGACTGAGGAGCCCCACCCCCCACCAGAGCCAGCAAACCTGAAGTCAGAGCGAAGAAATGGACCTGCAGGGTGCTCCAGGAACTAGCTACCCAGAGATGGGGACCTGGAAACTGGGCCAAAGGAGGACAGACAGAACTGGGGTTGTCGGGGAGAGCCTGAGGAGAGGGGGATTGGAGAAAGAGACAGAAGTACAGGGACCCAAGGATCAGAAGTGAGAGGAAGGCAAGCCCCCCACTTGGGGCAGAAGACCCGGGGAGACACCGAGAGACAGATGTTAGAGTATGCTCCCTAAAAGTCAGCACCCAGCTCTTTAACTTTCCCCCTCCCCTGCCTATGGCACCCTCTCTTCCCAAATGGGGGTGGAGGGGGCAGGGCCAAGGGAAACTAAGCCCCAAGTTTGGCCTGGAGGGGGAACCAGGAGGCCGGCGCCACCCCCCAGCTTGGGGATCCAGCTCTCCACCCGCCTCCTTGTCTACATTCTCTGGTGCCAAACCTCAGAATGCCCGGAATGGCCCCCTGGACAGGTGCCACCTCAGCCCTGGCCCTCAGCCCCTTTCTAGCCCCCGCCCCCATGGACACTGGGATAGAATTGCCTTAGTTGGGATGGGGCAAGGAAGGAGATCAGGCCTGGGGAGGTTCGAATCAGACTCAGGGAGCCAAAGCTGTCCTCCATTGCCTGTGTCCTCACCACCCTCTCTGTGCCCCTAACCCCCAGCTGGCCCAGAAGTATGACCACCAGCGGGAACAGGAGCTGAGAGAGTGGATCGAGGGGGTGACGGGACGTCGCATCGGCAACAACTTCATGGATGGCCTCAAAGATGGTATCATCCTTTGCGAGTGAGTGGCACTCTTGTGGTACAGACCTTACCTTCAGCTACTCCACACCCAAGTCCTTGTAGCCCCTCAACCCCCCTCAAATGACCATGAGCCTGGAGCTTGGCTGACCACCTTATAGCTGATATCTCCAAGTAGTCCTCTGAGCTGGCAAACAACCACTGTGCCCATTTAACAGGCAAATAAAACTGAGGCTCAGGTGAGACACATTGTTCTAAGTCTCACGGTGTCACAAGGGAAATGATTCCAGAATCTTAACCAGCAGCTCTACAGGGCATGTCAATTCATGGTCTCCAGCATCCCAAGAAAGACAGGTGACCATTAAAAGGCAGGGGCAACCATGACTGTTCATCATGGGCTTGGCAATGGGCATGAGCCATGATAATTTTTTACTACCCTCAGAACCTCGCTGCCAAGGGAAATGAAAACCCTCAGCTCCGAAGCTCCCATCCCCTTCCTTGAATGGGGCCTGAGCCCAGCTGGGGTCTTGTGTGCCTCTCTGAGTCTGGTCCAGGCCCCCAGGCCGGTGACCACGAGAGCCAGAGTTTGCCCTTGAGCTTTCCAAAGGTGCAGACTATGGAGTCCTAGGTGCTGAGAAGGAGAAGTAAGGGTGCTCATCTTGCTTCATCATCTCCATCCATGCTGGTGTCCCATCTCATGGGCGCTGTTTGAGTCTCAAGAGTACAGAGCGAGGGCTGGGGTGCAGCTTGGTGGTAGAGTGCCTTCCTTGCATGAAAGAGGTCCTGGGTTGCACCCTTAACACTGCCAAAAAAGAAGAAAAGAGTACAGAGCTAACCTACCCATCAGTAATCCACTCATGCAATAAGCATTTATAGCTTCTGCTGTGTACCAGGCTCTGGTCTAGGCACAGGGATAGTGAACCAGATCCACTTGGATGGAGTCTGATAGGAAGCTTTAATCCTACTGGGGGAGATCAAAGAATTGATCAAACAATCACACACTTGCAGATAAGTGCCAAGGAGAAGAATCAGTGGGAAGTATGGTGGGAGGAGTGGGAGGACCCGAGGCGGAGTGGAAGTCCTATCCTAGTGTGGTCTGGAGGGCCTTTCTGAGGAGGTAACATTGAACAGAGTTCTGGATGAAGCGAAGGAAGGAGCCAGGAGACCTGGGAGAAGAACAATGGAAGCAGAGCAGAGCAGACAGAGCAAAGGCCCTGAGGTAGCATGCTGGTACCTACTCAGGGTGGGGAAGTGGAGGGAGGTAAAGTCATCAGGTTAACCGGAGGCCACGTGATACAGGGTCTGTTAGTCATGTAGAGGAATTCAGACTTTATACTAAAGGCAATGAGAATCCAGTATGGAATTTTGAACTGGAAGGTAACTTAATGTGTGTGTGTGTGTGTGTGTGAGAGAGAGAGAGAGAGAGAGAGAGAGACTGGGGATCAAACCCAAGGCCTCTTGAATGCTAGCCCTTGAATTGCTTTTAAAAGGCCATTTTTGGGTTGGGGATGTAGTTCAGTGGTAGAGAACAAGCTTGCTTAGCATGGGCTGGGTTTGATCCCCTGCACAGCAAAATGAGAAAATAAAATAAAAGGTCATTCTTGTCTGACACAATGTCATGTCTGTATCTCAGCTACTCGGGAGGCTGAGGCAGGATGGCAAGTTTGAGGCCAGCCTCAGCAACTGGGTGTTAGGACAACTTATCCTGCCTCAAAAAATACATAAATAACTATGTAAAGGGCTGGGGTGCAGCTCAGTGGTAGAGCACTTGTCTAATATGCACAAGGGCCTGGGGTCCATTCCCAGCTTAACAAGGAAAAACTAAAAAGGCCAAAAGTTTGTGAGGGAGGAGGTGGAAGCTGGGAGCCCACGGACAGGAGGCCACTGCAAGGGCCCAGCAGAAGCGCTGAGGACTCAGAGCAGGGTAGGGGTGGTGAGGGGCAGCGGGCAAGTGGGTGGGCTTCCTCATGCATTTAGAAGGCAGAGCCCAAGGACTTGCTGCGGAAGAGAAAGGGGAAGTCAAGTCCAAGTAATTTGGCTGAGCACCAGGAAAGGTGGGAATTGTTGCTTACTGAGCAAAGCAGAGGGAGGAGGGATTGGTGAGCAGATGTGTATGTCAGGAGTCTGGGGTGGTGGGTGTTGGATTTGAGCAGATTGGAACTCCCACGGAGGGAGGGCTGGAGAGCGAGAGGCCTGGGCTGCTGGCCTTGCCCACTGGGGAATCACTGGCACATGGAGGGCACTGAAAGTGGGGATACTGATGAGATCACCAAGGGGGTGAGTGTGGTCAGAGAAGAGGTCCCTGTGGGTTCCCCGCTGTGTCCACAAGAGAAAAAGAAACTGAGACACAAGTGGCCACCAATGAAGCCTTAGGAAAACTAGGAGATCCTGACATGGGGACTTTGTGGCTGGTGACCTGAGTCCACTTTCCCTGTGGTTGGTTTCCCATTCGCCCTGAGTTTGCTTATCCCACCTGCCTGGCCTGCTGGGAGCAGCAGGGGCTCACCCCGGAACCCCCTCCCCTCTTTGTAGATTCATCAATAAGCTCCAGCCAGGTTCTGTGAAGAAGGTAAACGAATCAACCCAAAATTGGCACCAGGTAAGCCCAGAGGCAACTTCTCTTGGTCCATTGTCCACAAGCCCTTCAGCCCTCCCCCTCTCACCTCTAATGTTGCCTGCTCCCCTCCAGCTGGAGAACATTGGCAATTTCATCAAGGCCATTACCAAGTATGGGGTGAAGCCCCACGACATCTTCGAAGCCAACGACCTGTTTGAGAATACCAACCACACCCAGGTGCAGTCCACCCTCCTGGCTCTGGCCAGCATGGTGAGTGTAGGGGCAGCGTGGGCACAGGATAGGGCTGGGCTAGGCTGGGCTGCATGCGGGGCCACTTGTGCCATCAAGCCCAGGACGGGTGACCTGGGAGGGCGGGTGACCTGCCATGTCTCCCAGGGGACAATGCAGCCTGCTAGAGGCTCTCTTGTCAGTCCTTGTCCTCCTGGCCCCACCCAGGCCAAGACGAAGGGAAACAAGGTGAATGTGGGTGTGAAGTATGCGGAGAAGCAAGAGCGGAAATTTGAGCCACAGAAGCTAAGAGAAGGACGGAACATCATTGGGCTGCAGGTACTGCCCCTTCCCCATTCACTGCTGCGCTGAGTGGGAGGTCAATGCCGTCTTGGAGGGAGGGCAGCTGGTGCCTAGAGATTTGTGGGGGCAGGACATCTGGCATTAACTAACACTAGGCCAGGACCCTGCTTAGCGCTTTCCACTCGTGTTCACTCCCTCTGCCACCAGACCAAGGGGCCAGGCACTCTTCACCTCACCCACCCCCAGGCCTGGAGAAGCTGCTAGCCTACTTTTGCCAGGATGGCCCAGTTGATGAGAATGGGAACCCAAAATGTTGGTTGTGTGCTATGCCCACTCTCATTTTCTAGCTTGTAAACCAAGGGAGGCAGCAGGGCCTCATGATCCGACATCAGGTGTCTCACGGCCCACGGGGGGACTTTGTAATCTTTGGTGTGACTCTTTCTGGTCTCCTAGATGGGCACCAACAAGTTTGCCAGCCAGCAAGGCATGACAGCCTATGGTACCCGGCGCCACCTCTATGACCCCAAGTTGGGGACAGACCAGCCCCTGGACCAGGCCACCATCAGCCTGCAGATGGGCACCAACAAGGGAGCCAGCCAGGTGAGTAGGGGGCTGTTGGTCACACTGGCCAGGTCCTCACGGTAACCAAAGCCTGACCACTCTGTCCTGTGTAGGCCGGTATGACTGCACCTGGGACCAAGAGACAGATCTTCGAGCCAGGATTGGGCATGGAGCATTGTGACATGCAGAATGTCAGCCTGCAGATGGGCAGCAACAAGGGGGCCTCACAGAGGGGCATGACGGTGTATGGGCTACCGCGCCAGGTCTATGACCCCAAGTACTGCCTGACGCCAGAGTACCCGGAGCTGGGTGAGCCCACCCCAAACCACCACGCACATAACTACTACAACTCTGCCTAGGGCCCCCCAGGGAGGCTGGCTGCTGCTCTTGGCTGGACCCAACCGGCTCCAGCCAACCCTGTCCCCCTGCATGGCGTCCTCCAGCCCCCTGGCACCTGCCGATAGGGTTACAATTTGGGGAGTGCAGACTGGGGGACCTGTGAGGGAAGGGGGGCATCCTCCCTGTGGCACTGCAGGGTCCAACCTACAGCTGGGTGTCCTTGAAAGCACCCAGATGATGCACTGAGCAAAGCTATTCCAGCTGTCCCCCACTCCCTCACAAGTGGGTACCCCCAGGACCAGAAGCCCCCAAACCAAGCCCCCAGAGCCCAGGCTCCGCCTGCCCCCAGCCCATTCCCACAGTGGGAGCAAACTGCATGCCCAGAGACGCAGCGGACACACGCGGTTTGGTTTGCAGAGACTGGCGTACGCGGATGTGACAGCAGCGTTTGTAACGCGAGCACTTTTTTCCTATTTCACTGGAGCACAATAAATGCTGTAAAATCACCTGAAGCTTGGAACTGCTCTGTCCCAGAGCCTGTATGGCTCTTGCACACATGCAGACAACCTTGCTCAGATACACCCCATCTCCTGCACTCACATACCTGCCCCAAGGAATGCACAGGGACCTCAGTCCATTAGACATAGGACAGGCACCGTGTCTAGTGCAACATCCACATGCACTCCTAACCTTGCACACAAGATGTGCACCTACATGTAGTCCACACTCGCCACCAGCGACATGTGAAATGGCAAACACTGGGTTGGGGTGGAGCTTGGTGGTAGAGCCCTTGCCCAGCATGTGTGAGGCCCTAAATTCCACACCCAGCACCACAAAGAAAAAGAAATACCGGAATGGTGATACACTCACAGCCTCACACACCACAGTATCCATGCACACACCCTCCTGTGGACAGGTGGGTGGTAGTGAGGAAGACCGAGTGCCGACACTGGTGGGATGGGATGTGACTCTGCTGCTTGCTGGCTCAGTGACCTTGGGCACAGCCTGTTTTCTCATAAGAAAAATAGGAACAGTGAATCTTGTAGGGTCAGGGGAAGCTTCAATGAAGTGACATGCAAGGGTCCTGGTGGTACTCGTGGGCAGGGGCAACCCCTTCAGCCTGACTGGGGGGAAGTAAAGATTGGTTCTATGGGACAAGGCAATGTGTCCTACTGACTGGCATGGAGCTGCTGAGTGGCTTGCCACAGGGTACAGCTGCCCCTCTCTGCCTCACTTGCTCCTAGCCTTCTTAAGGCTGAGTCCCAACTCTGGCCTGTCACTCCAGGACCTTAAGTTTGTGGACAGGGCTCCAACCACTTCACCCTTCAGAGGGCGTCTTGTTCTGGAGAGGAGGGTCCAGCCCTCCTGCCTGGAAGAAACCAGTAACAGGGTGCTAAGGGGAGAATGCAGAGAATGGGAGGGGGACCCAGAGCAGTCTTCTTCCCCTCCCTCCTTCACTCCCCCATAAGGACAGAGGTTGAGGCTGGAATGTGGGGACCTGCAGAGACAGACACCAGAAGTCCCTCATGTAGATGCACACAGTCCCTGGGGCCTCGTAAACCAGATTCCAGGCACTCTTGGCCTAGTGACCACAAGATCTGCTCCCCCCAGGGCAGCGCAGGGAAGCTATGCTGAGGAGGATCCATGCCTGGCCCAGGGCCCTGCCTCCTTAGGAAAACAGTACCATATTAGCACTTGGTCTGTCAGGCTAGGGTGGGCCGGTGACAGGGAGGGCTCTGGGTGCCAAAGGAACAAGACCCCTTTCAGCTGGATCTTGGTACTGCTGAACTCAGGGGCCTGTCTACCGTGCCGCCTGGATCCTCTATCTCCTTCCAGGTCTATGGGACCTTACCCGGGGCGCTAGAGAAGGTAGAAGTGCCAGGGAGGGGTTTGTCACTGCACAGTGCGTGGCTAGGACTTCCAGGCCAGCTGAACCTTCCTTGGCTGTTCTCTTGTCCCTGCCCTGGGTGGCACTGGAGCTGTTTGAACAATTCCAGGCACTCTCCCTGTCCATTCCCTCCTCTTCATAGCCCCCCCAATTTTTTACATCCTTCCCTCAGTACCACTGAGGACTCTGAAGCCAGGTTACCTAATGCGAAGGTTCCATGAGGCCAAGTTCAGGTGCTGGATCTGCCCAGGTTAGCAGGGTCAGGGCTCCTGCCACCCTTAAGACCCTCTGAGGGCAGGTGCACATCTACCCACAGTCTTCTGACACTCCCCGCCAGCCCTGCAAACAGGTCCTCTCAGTGGACCAGTATGTTTCTCCAGGGTTCCGCCCCTGCCCACAGCCCCCAAAACATCCCATGAACTTCTGTTCCCTGGACTTATAAGGAAGATCACAGGCTGTGGAACCAGCCTGAGTTCAAGACACAGCTATGTCTTTCTGGCTGAGGGACCTCAGTGGCCTCCTAGTTCTCGGGCCTGTTTCCCCATTTGTGAATCTAGGGTTACCTTGCACCCATCTCACAGGGCAGCTGTCGGGACATGGAAATAACAAGCCCTGAGAGCAGTGTCAGGTATGGGGTGGTCTTGAACACTGCCTCCTCTGTACTGCCTCCCATACCCCAGGGTTTTCACTGTGACTTCTGTAAACACCTGGCCAGATGTGTCTGCTCCATCCTATGCACCCAGCATTGCCCTGAATACTTCATGAATGAATGAAATATTGAACCATTTGAAGGACTGACAGAACCCCACCTCCAACCAGTGACCGCAACCTCTAAAGTGCCTCACCCTAAATCCCACCTCCTCTTCTGGCGCTGGGGTAGACACAGAAGCCAAGAAATCACAGTCAGCCAGGATCTGCATGAGCTGCTTTATTGAAGGGCTAGTTGATTGACAGCTATCCCCACACCGTTCCTTGCCTCCTCTATAAAGCAGCTCCCATTAACACAGAGCTTATCTAGTTAGCACAGGGGAGCTGGCCTCCTACCGAGGCCCAGCCAAGGGACCTGGGGAACGTGGCTGACACCCAGTTACAGGCACTGGGAGGAAGGGAAGAAGGGCGGGAAATCCTGTTCACACAGGTGAGGTGCTGGTGAGGTGGGTGAGGAGTCCAGGGAGGTCCCTCTTCAGACTCTGGTGGCTTCCCTTGCCCAGGATGTCAGGAACCTACCCTGAAGGAGCCAGGACTCCAAAGCCACAGGAGGCTGGGGCTGGAGAATGGAGCAGTTCAAAGGAGTCTGGAGCCAAATGAGGCCAGTTTGGGCCTCTCAGGCCCAGGAGACCAATTTCACCCCAAGTCCACGTGCACACAGCCATGCTTGCAGCCACACCAGCTCACTCACGCTCACACCCATTCCATACACACAGCTCTGGACCCACACCCTGGACCCCTGGAATGTCTCTGGATTGGGACCCAGCAGGTGGGTCCGTGGCAGGCAGGGCCACCAAGGGATGGGTCCTCTGTGTTGCTACTGATTGGCTGCCTCACAGGCATCTATCCAATCGCTGTACACATCCACTGGTTCTGACAAATCTGAATTGCTGAGGTCAAGGACAATTAGTGGCACTGGACACCCCCCCCCCATATACCTCTGCTCACCTTAGTGGCAGTGGCCCTGTGCCAGGCCACAGTGGGGCTAGAGGCGTAGGGATGGACTCCAGCCCCCTCACCCTTAGCGATCTGCCCCTAATTAGCCCACCCTGGGCATGACAGCTCTGACTACCCCCGCCCCTCCCAGCCAAAAGCTGCATTTTCCAAGGATACATGTGATGGGCGTTTGAAATTCCTCTAGGCACACGGTACAAGAGATGACTCCGGTATTGCGAGCACGGTCCCTGATATGGGATAGAGTGAGGTGGAGAGAATGATGAGCAATAAGCCCTTGGTGACCCCCCAAGCAGAAGGACTGGGACAGGATGGAGGACTACAGGCAAGGGGGAGAGACTCAGGTACCCAGTGGGGCAGGAGGCCTCACCCAGCCCCTCACTCACATTTTCACATCACAAGACTTTTCGTGGTTGCAGAAAGGACAGGTGAATTGGGTCTCCAGGGTGCCTGTCATCTTCTTCTTGGGGGGTGGTTTCCGTTTTGACTTCCTGCGTCCCATGGTTATAGGTGGGCAAACCTATGGAGGTGAGGGAGAGCAGAAGTCAGAGGCTCATAGTAGCTGGCAGTCCTCTCGTTTGACACTCTGAGAAGCAGACTGGGAAGGAGCCTTGGCAGTGGCCCATGGAATAGGGAGGACTTGTACAATGGTGCCCAAGCTCTACTTCAGGGGGCTGAAGTTCCCAATCCCAAGGCAGAAAGACAGTCCCCCCCTAGTGCACTCTGGGTGGCCTCTAACCCTTGCTCCCCAACTTACTTAAGCTTTCTGTGCCCTGGTTTCATTGTCTACAAAACAAAGGTAAGGATGCTCCCTCAGAGTCCATTAGATCACTAACACACTACCTTGCTCATCTCTTAAAATGTCAGAAAACTACCTCTTCATCCTCCAGCTACCCATTTCTCCGCAGATTTTTCTCTGCTGCCTGTGTCCCCCTCCCATTCTTTACACTTCTTGTCACTCAATCAAGGTCATCAAAGCCAACACCAACAGTCAGTCCCCTTTTCACGGCACTGGACACACCGATCCCTCCCATCTTTCCCCTGTAGTTCTCGGGACCCCAGCCTCTCCCTGCCCGCTGCCTCCCTGGTGGCCCCTTCTAGCCCTCCCCGTCCTCTGCTGCTTCTTCAGCCTCCCCAGTAATAAGAAAGTCCATGAGCTCCATCTTTTGGGCCTCTGCCTGCTCCCTCCTCACACCTCCACGGAGATCCTTGGGCTTCATGCATCCCACCTCTTCAGCCTCCACCACAGACCCAATGGTCTCCTTGTCTTGGACACAACTTCACCGGATGTCTATGAATGCAAAGTAACATGTCCAAAATTGAGCTCCAGGCACCTCAACCTCTTCTCTTGAGGCTTTCTCCATCTCAGCGGACAGCACCTCCATCTTTCCAGTTTTCAGGCCAAAACTCTTGAACTCATCCTTCTCGTTTTCTTCCTTACACACCCTATACCAGACTCTGCCCCTGCCCTTCTGAAATACATCCAGAACCTTACCACTTTTCATCACCTCTAAGGCAATCCCCATCGTCTGAGCAGCAGTAATCTCAGCCTCCTCATTCTCAGTCTTCCTGATCTCCAATTCTGCCTACCTCCTTCTAAGTATAGATTCCACAAGGGCAGGAATTTTTGTCTTTTCTTTGTATCCTCAGAATATGGAATTGCTCATGGCCATAGAATTGCCCTCTCCCTCCAACATATATTTACTGAATGAGTGAGTAAGCAGATCCCAGGAACTCTGTTCAATCATACTAATGCTGCAACCAACAAGGCAGGCAAGGTGTCTGAAATTCCAATGGAGGATGGCAGGCTTTTATGAAGTAAGCACATAAGCAAGAGAATTTCGTGTATTAGTAAGTGCTATGAAGGTTATTAAACAGGGCTAAGTGAAAGTTTCTGAGGTGAGGCTGCTCCAGATAAGGGGATTGGGAAGGACCCTTTCTGGGTATCATTTAAGCTGAGGTCTCAATGACAGGAGGCAGTCATGATGCAAAGATGTGCAGGCAGAGGAATGGCCAACTGTAAGTGCCCTGAGGCAAACTGCTTTTTTCCAGAGTGTGGCTGTAGCCCAGAGAGCAATGGAGAGAAGAGTGTGAGATGCAAAAGATCAGCTAGATCTCACAAGACCTTTAAGGTTTAAATAAGGTGCCACCTGGTCTGTAGCCCATCTTGTCACCTGCCAGGACAGTGTTTTATTTTTTTCCTGAAAGCTCAGCTCTGGCTACAACAAAAATCAGATCAGGGTGCTCAAAAAAGGCAGTTTTCTGACTCTAATCCTAGACCTCCTCCCATGAGAATGTCAGTTCTGCAGGGACATGTTTTGTTCACTGCTGAATTCCTTGCACGCATCGTGCCTGGAACACATTAAGTACTTAACTACTTATTGAATGAATAAATAAGTCTCCTGAATGAGAGCAACGGAGGGGGCCCAGTATCTCATTTCACCCGGTGATCACAGCACCGCACCTGAGGAATGGATTCTGCCTTGCACAAGAACCAGAGGTCCAGGTGTGTCCTATGGCAACGAAAGTCCAAGCGCGTCAAGGGAGAGCTGGAAGAGGGTTGATCCCCGCCCCTCAAACTGCCGCGACACAAGAGGCGAGGGGCGGGCTGTTTCTCCAAGCTCACCGAGGCCTGGACGTCGCCTCCCGACGACCACCCGAAGGAGGCAGGGCCAGAGCTGCCCAACTTGGAGGGCTAGGGTCCGGAGATCAATTTCCCCGACCAGCCGCCCCCCAAGCCGGAGACCCTGGCGGCTGTTCCAGGACCGCGTGAGTGTCCCAGAGCAGAAGAACGACCAGTCTGGCCCAGCCCCAACGCCCGCCCGCGCGCACGATCACCTGCACTCGCCTTCCCTCGTTGCAAAGGCCCGGTTCGCCCGGGAGACAGTGACTTCCGGGCTCTCGGAGGAAGCGGAAATCCCCTTCCCTCTCAGGTCCCGCCCACCCCGCCCTAAGAGGCCCGGCGAATAGGCCCCACAGCCTCCAGCTGCTTCTCTGTGCGCACGCGTACTCAAATTTCAGGCAGCGAGGATACTGTGCGCCTGCGCAAAGAGTACTACTTGTAATTGTTGCACCGCTTTGTCGCTACTCTTACTTTCTGGTTAAGTTCCCGGGATTGACTGTTCTGCCGCTTCAGGACCAAATCAGTGCTGGGAAGGCGGCCTCGCCGTGGGCTGCACCACTTGCGTGGTCTTTCTCAGTTCTAGCCCTAGTCCCTTTCCTTCACTGCCCACCTAGACCTCCACTTCGGGCACCCTGTTCATTCCACAATCCCAGCCTTGAGTAGTAGCAAATACCCTTAAGGCTAAATGAGGTTTGAGGGGGAGTATAAGAACCTGTCCTCAAACCCTAAGAGCATCTGCAGTTCTCTTAAAAATTCAAGTTACATTCAGCAATTCAAGAATCTGTATTCCTAACTAGCTTCTCAGCTGGTCCAAGGGCTACACTTTGAGTGCAGAGGTTGGATATGGAATAGAGACCATGTGAGGCCTTGCAGGCCATGTTAAGGCCTTTATTGGATTTTGGGTTGAGGAAGTTATGTTTGATTTAGGGGTAGAGTTTGGTTGGTTCTTGTTTTTGCTTTCTGGTCTGGGTTCTAAAAAGCCCACTCCAGCTGCTTAGCGAAGAATGAGATGGAAGAGTGGAACTAAGAGAACATTTTGAAAGCCCTAGCTGTGATTGGACAAAAGATGGTGTTACAGAGCTCTGGCGCCTTCCATGAAACTGAGGCAACACAAAGGCCTGCTCCAAACCAGATTTTTGCAATTATGTCAGAAAGATTTCAGTCATACTGTTCAGAGTAACAGGCCTGAGTTAATTGAAGGGCTAGAAAAAGAGAAAAGGCACACTCTAGGAAGACAGTAGATCCTCTCAGAGGGGAGGGGGACATTTCAGTACCTCCTGTCCCCCAGTTTTATTGGGAGTCCCAGGAAAGTTTCCAGAGAATCCCACCCAGGAGCCACCTCTTTCTTATTTCTTAACTTTTGACTGAGCAGGATGACACCAAACTTAAGTTCCTACTGCCATGACAACTGTAGGTCACTTTGATCCATGCTGATCAGTCTAACTGGAACCTATTCTTACAGATTTTGGTTAGGGGAAATTAGACTTACTTCCTTGAGTTCTGGGATCTGGTCTTTGTAAGGGTCTCAAAATCCCCCTGTATTCATCAGGGTTCTCTAAAGGAACATAATCAACAGGAAGTATAATTATAAAAAGGAGACTTACTAGCTTGGCTTATGTGACCAGAAGCTGGATAGTCCACAATGGCCGTCCGCAGGCTAGAGATTTGGAAGAACAAGTAGCTGCGCAGTCCAACAGGCTGAAGCCTCAGAACAAGAGGGTTCAACCCTAGTCGGAGACTGAAGGCTTTTGGAGAATCACTAGCAGAGTCTGCTTTGGAAGAGTGAAGAAGTGACAGTCCAATTCCTCAGATGATTGCAGCAGCAATGTAGAGACCGCACTCAAGAAGAACCAAGCTTACATCTACTGCTGCTGCCTTGTTCTTCCAGCTTTTATTCCATCCAAGCCATCATCCTATTGGGCGGTACTTCCCACACTTAGGGAGGGTCTGTTGTGCTCCGTTGCCTTTCCCATCCTCCACCCTCCCCCCTCCCCACCTCTCCCCTCCCCTCCCCTCCTCTCTCTCTACCCCCTCCACTGTATAACCCTGAGAGTCTCCTTCCATTACCATGCAATTTCCCTTCTCTCTCCCTTTCCCTCCCACCTCTCATCCCTGTTAAATGTTAATCTTCTTCTCCTGCTCTTCATCCCTACTCTGTTCTTAGTTACTCTCCTTATATCAAAGAAGACATTTGGCATTTGTTTTTTAGGGATTGGCTAGCTTCACTTAGCATAATCTGCTCTAATGCCATCCATTTCCCTGTAAATTCTATGATTTTGTCATTTTTTAATGCAGAGTAATACTCCATTGTGTATAAATGCCACATTTTTTTTATCCATTCATCTATTGAAGGGCATCTAGGTTGGTTCCACAGTCTTGCTATTGTGAATTGTGCTGCTATGAACATCGATGTAGCAGTGTCCCTGTAGCATGCTCTTTTTAGGTCTTTAGGGAATAGACCAAGAAGGGGAATAGCTGGGTCAAATGGTGGCTCCATTCCCAGCTTTCCAAGAAATCTCCATACTGCTTTCCAAATTGGCTGCACCAATCTGCAGTCCCACCAGCAATGTACAAGTGTACCCTTTTCCCCACATCCTCGCCAGCACTTGTTGTTGTTTGACTTCCTAATGGCTGCCAATCTTACTGGAGTGAGATGGTATCTTAGGGTGGTTTTGATTTGCATTTCTCTGACAGCTAGAGATGTTGAGCATTTTTTCATGTACTTGTTGATTGACTGTATGTCCTCCTCTGAGAAGTGTCTGTTCAGGTCCTTGGCCCATTTGTTGATTGGGTTGTTTGTTCTCTTATTGTCTAATTTTTTGAGTTCTTTGTATACTCTGGATATTAGGGCTCTATCTGAAGTGTGAGGAGTAAAGATTTGTTCCCAGGGTGTAGGCTCCCTATTTACCTCTCTTATTGTTTCTTTTGCTGAGAAAAAACTTTTTAGTTTGAGTAAGTCCCATTTGTTGATTCTAGTTATTAACTTTTGTGCTATGGGTGTCCTATTGAGGAATTTGGAGCCCGACCCCACCGACTGTAGATCGTAGCCAACTTTTTCTTCTATCAGACGGCGCGTCTCTGATTTGATATCAAGCTCCTTGATCCATTTTGAATTCACTTTTGTGCATGGTGAGAGAAAGGGATTCAGTTTCATTTTGTTGCATATGGATTTCCAGTTTTCCCAGCACCATTTGTTGAAGATGCTATCCTTCCTCCATTGCATGCTTTTAGCCCCTTTATCAAATATAAGATAGTTGTAGTTTTGTGGATTGGTTTCTGTGTCCTCTATTCTGTACCATTTTTTTTTAACAATTATTTTTTAGTTGTAGTTGGACACAATATCCTTATTTCATTTATTTTTATGTGGTGATGAGAACTGAACCCAGGGCCCTGCACATGCTAGGCAAGTGCTCCACTGCTGAGCCACAGACCAAGGCTGGTAAATTGCTTTTTTTTTTTTTAATATTTTTTAGTTGTCAATGGACCTTTATTTTATTTACTTATATGTGATGCTCAGAATCGAACCCAGTGCCTCACACATGCTAGGCAAGCGCTCTACCACTGAGCCACCACACCAAACCCCCACCCCCCGTAAATTGCTTTTTTAAAAGAGAAAGCATGTGGGGGGTCTGCACAATGGGACTATTTTATAGAATTATCCTCTGTCGCGACCCCTCGCCGGCAAGGGAAAACACGACACAGGATTCTTCTTTCAGCAGTTTATTCAGGCCTTGTTTCATGTATCATCTTCTAGCGCCCGCCCCGCACACACTCAAGCACAGCCTAATAAAGCTCCCCGCATCCCAATCCCAAGCCGCCACGTGGACCTTTCTCATAGGGTGGTAAGGGATTGCGCGCCAACTCTCCATATAAGGAGTTGTTTATCACAGGCTACAGTGGAAGCCGGTGCCATCTTCTAATGGCGGCCACGGTTTATTAGTACGGCTCACCACAATCCTCTTAGCCTCCTGTTCCTATTGCTCATGTCTCTGTAGCTCCTATCAGTGGCCTAGGCTAGGGTAGAATTAGTGGAGGTGGATGGAAGTTTCCACATCTAGAAATCTAATGTGAAGCCAAATTTTGTTTTTTGGACCTAGAATGGGCAGAGAAAGGCCCCAGAATTCCCCCAATTTAGTGAGGACATAAAGGATCAACTCAATGCTTCAGTGCAGCAGAGAAGGCGTATAGGTGGAAGGGGTTGGCAACTCATCTGAGAGGATAGGGGAGGCTTCTGTGGAGGCCTGATGCTCACTCAGGTGGAAACCAGAAGTCTGAGTAGGAGTTAAACAGGCAGGGAGCACCTATCAAATTTATGATGGAGTGAAGCAGAGAGAAGAGTTGAGCAGGACTTCTTGTTGTACAGAGCACCTCGGTGCTGCCTCTTACTCAGAGGAGGAAGGCTGAGGGGAGATGTTTGAAAGGAAATGAACACTGCTTGGCCCTGGTGAATGTGAGACAAATGGAGGCATGGAGCAGGCCATTGCAAATGGGAGTCTGGAGCTTGGGAGAAAGTCCTAGATGGAATTTTAGGAGTCGTTAACATGTGGAGGTTACTGGAAGCCCTGGGGATAGAGGAGGTCACTTGGTGTCAGGGGTGAGGGGCAAAGGACAGTGAAGAAGGCTCAGGAGGAGACCAGGAGTATCCACCTCAGACCTTAGCAGGAGGAGACCAGTGAAGTAGGAGGAGAAAGTTGTGTATCTTTTCCTGGAAGTCTCCAGAAGAAGGTGTTTCAAGATGGGAAAAGTGGTCAGATGTATCACACATCACTGAGAGTTTGAGGAAGATGAGGAAAGAGAATTGACCATTGACTTTGGCAATGTTTTGATTACTGGGGATATTGATAAGAGCTGTTTCTTTTTTGTTTGTTTGTTTGTTTGTTTTGTTTTTTGTTTGTTGGAGGGGGTACCAGGAATTGAATTCAGGGGCACTCGACCACTGAGCCACATCCCCAGCCCTATTTTGTATTTTATTTAGAGACAGGATGTCACTGAGTTGCTTAGCATGTCACCATTTTTTTTTTTTTTTTTTTTGTCTTTTTTTTTTTTGGAACTGGGGATCGAACCCAGGGCTTTGCGAATGCAAGGCAGACGCTTTGCCACTGAGCTACATCCCAGCCCTTAGCATGTCACCATTTCTGAGGCTGGCTTTGAACTTGCAATCCTCCTGCCTCAGCCTCCTGAGCCGCTGGGA